GGGGGGTTTGCTTTTTCCGATTTCCCCCCCAGGCGGCCGCAGGGAAAGGGAGACCCGGCGTCCAGTCGTGGTCAGGGGAGGCGCCGCGACCTCCAAGTTGCTCGGGCTGCGGCTCCATGGAGGTGGCTCCGGAATAATGCCCCGGAGCGGGAGCGGCACCCGCGTCCCACCCGCGGCCGCGCACGCCTCCCCGCCCGGCCGTCCCCGCCCAGCCCCGCCGCGGGCCAAGGAAAACAGCCGCCTCCTCGGGGACGCCGGCCGGGGCGGCGGGGCGCGCGCCAGAGTCCCCCGGCGGCCGGGCAGCCCTCGCCGAGGCTGGCTTTGTGTTTGCGACTTTTGGGGGATGGAGGGGGCTTGAGAAGTCTGACCCCATTTCAGCCCCGTGGGGGGGAAAACTTCCCCGAAGTGTCCCCGTCTGGGTGATGCAGGAGGGCAGACACGCTCCCTGTGACATGAATCAAAATGCATCAAAAATACGTGAATTAAAATGCACTTGAACGGGGACTGTTTCTTCCTGAAGGCTGCACAGGAGCCGGCCGTTTTTGACGCAGCCTCTGGGCAGTTCTGAGGTTTCTCATCCCCCCCCCCTTTCGGATTTATAGGCGCTCCCTCGTTTTGTTTTTATTTTATCTTTTTGTACGGGAGGACTATTCCATCTCTCATTTGTGTGGTTCACCGGCATGGGCCGAACGGTCCTTCCGAGCGTCGGAAACGCGAACTCGGGGTAGCCATGTGGGCCGGGCGGTGATCGGCGCCGGGAGAAAGTTCATGCCCTTTCACTTCTCCCTCCTCTAGGAAGGATCTCTCCGGGAGCTGCCGCTCCAGCCTTCTCGACTCACTCGGACGCCTCCTGGGCTCGGGAGGAAGGGGACCGCTGTCTGCATTGGCCACGACGCTAGCTGCCAAGAAGACCTGTCGCCTTTGTTTTTAAGTCTCCAGAAATGAAAGAAGACAGCGAAGTCAGTTGAAGTCCTGAGACATCGCCGAGGCGTCTGCAGGGGCTTCCTGGAGACCTTCGTTCCCCGGCACTTGGTGTGTTTCACCAGCCCTGCCTGTCCCTCCTCGGAGCCGGCTGCGGCATTCTTCCCTCTTGGGTGTGTGCTGGCATTCCCCTCACCCCCCCACATGTGGACTCCAAAGGATTTGTCCCGTAGTCATTTGAAATGAAATGATGGCCACGCGTCGGACTGGTCTGCCCGAGGGAGATGGTGACAAGCTCAAGGCCTGCGGGGCCCCCGCCTGCGAGGTAAGTGCAGAGGCGGCATCCCCGGCTGGCTGGCGGGGCGGTGGCCGGTGTCTTGAGAGCGTCCTACGGGTCGCGGGCGGTTGGGGGGCCCTGCCGCCGGGCCTTGCCGGGGGCGTCCGGGGGCTTTGGATGGGTTGTTGGGAGAGCCCCGACGAGTAGCGAGGTGGGACCTTGCCCACTTGTGTTTCCGGGGTTCCCCGTGATTCTTTCGCAAGAACATGCCCCGCACTTGGGAATGTCCCCATCTTGATCACCCCTTCCCGGCTTGAGGAATTCTCCCTTCGTCTCCGGTGGCTGTGAATACTATGAGCCTGAGAATGGGGCACCTTGGTGTCCAGTTTTCTTCGAGTTGAGCTGATTTGGCGTGGCTTTGTGTGTGTGTGTGCCCAGAGTCTGCCCTCCCAGGTGGGGAGAGAGGGCGGCTGATCCTGGAACGTGTTCTCTTTCACACTTACCGGGGTTGTGGCCGCTGTTGGTGTAGATCTCTGCTTTGGGTAGAAAAGAAGTCTTTTCCCTGGGCAATCTAAGCCTTGGAAAATGACTTTATAGTGCTGTAATTTCAGCTCCCTGAAAAATCTCCTGCCTTTGCTGTTCTTTTATTTATGCCCTCCCTTTCACTACTCAGAAGTTCTGTGAGCTGCTCTTGGGGTGTCAGGTGGCTTGCATTGCTGGTCAGACAAGGATCTTTCCAAGGGGCCAGAAGATTTTACTCTAGGTTTTGTGAAATTTTTTGAGCAGGCTGGACAGAAATCATAGACACATTTATTGACTTATGACTCCCCGTCTATACAGTACTTGAGTTTGGTCTTAAACTACAATGTTGTTTGGCTTTTTAAAGCATTAAGTAGACATTTTGCTTTGGATTCTGTGTGGAAATGGAAATAAAGGGACCATATGCTGTCAGAAAACATTTCAAATATGTCCTGTTGCCTCTTAAGTCTTTTTTTCCTCCTTGTGTTTGGAGATTGGAGTATTTGGAGTTTACTTTCATAATGATCATGTTGTTTATTATTGATGATTTCTATAATTAAACGGTCTGAATACTGTTATCTCTTAAACTTTACTTTTGAAGTATCTATATTCTTATAGCAAGATTGATGATTATTTTAGACAACAATGATATACCCAGATGAGCCTTCACTACCTCACTGTTTTCTTTTGTAACTCATGTTATGTTTTAACTTCACAGTCCCTGAAACAGGGTCTGGTTTTAAGTGTGTGAGTTTTGGCATTTTTAAGTAAAAAAAGAATCAGAAGTTAAATTTTGGTTCATAAAGCACACAGAAACTTCCTTCATAAACCTTACTTGATGTTAGATTAGAAAGTTTATGCAGAAAACACTGTAAGGGAGTGTGCTGTTACTGTACAGTTCACTAGACAGAACTATAGATTTCTGTTTAGAATCAATGTTTTACTTCTTGACATCTGTAAACACCTGCTTGGAGGTAAAAGATGATTAAATATAACACCACAGTCCTCTGATCGTGGTACACCATAATTACTCCTTTCCTAAGGGTTACCTACAACCTGGTGATTGCTCAATGTGTATTGTAGTTACATAATAATAGGTACTGTGGCCCCAAAGCCTTGTCATTGTCTTGTGAATACTTTAATTAGCATACTATTTGCATTATATTTGCAAGACTGATGTTATTGTTATTTGTTTTTTTTTTTTTTTTTTTTTTGTCATTTAAGGAATGCCCCAAAACCAAGAATTTAGACACAACTTGTCCTTGGCTGGAAAGCAGTGCTTCCAGTTAGTTGCACACTTGGCTTTTATTAACAGTGACAGTTATGTATTTTTTAAGGCTGTGAAATTTGTTTTCATTTGGACCTTACTTTTGGCATGGCTATATTGTTTCTAGTTTGGAAATGAAGAAAACACAATATTGTCTGTATTTTGTTCACTTATATATACAGTAGTACTTGAGTTTGGTCTTCAGCTACAATATTATTTGACTTTTTAAAGAATAAGTAGACATTTTGCTTAGATTCTATGTGGAAATGGAAATAAAGGGACCATATGCTCTCAGAAAACATTTTCAAACCTCAGGGTGGGGAATGAGGAGAACTGGTGTGATTATTGTCTCTGTTTAGTTGTGATGTGTTTTTATCTCTGATCGATGCTTCTGGTGCACATTAAGTCTTGTGAATTTTTTTTTGTAATAAAAAGGGAGTTGCCTCTGGAATATTTTGGGTTGACAGATATTTCGATCTTTGAACACTGCACTTAATTTTTGTCCTTTATCTAATTTTTATTAGAAGTATTACATGCTAGAGTAGTACTGTCATTCTTTCAAGATTTTTTTTAAAAAGCAGTATGTTTGACTGGTAAATTTGTGTTTTTAACTAACCAAGAGACAAGCATCTGTCTTAAGGAATGCTGTTAATCGGTGGGAAAAAAAATTAACTTTGTAGGACAGAAGAAATCAATGTAGTGAATTAACAGGATTCTCTGTTTCATGCCTTATCTAATTAGCTAATTCCACCTTCCAGGAATAAGGTCTGTGACTGCTGAAAAAGAATCAGAGATTTCTTGTTCATCTTAATTGTGTTGATGTATGAATAAGTTTAGGCTCCCCGCCCCAAGAATATGTCGGAAGGCTCAAAACAAATAACATACAGCCCTCTTCAAATAAGAAATTGTGACAGGTCAGTAGACTATATCTTGGCATTATATAGTAAGGAGAACCCAGGTTGTAGTCACACAAATTTATATACTTTATGCATCTAAAGATGTGTTTTTCAAAACTGGTTTTACTCACTCTGAACCACAAAGTATTTTTTGGTGTATGTGTATATAATCTCATCTGTGAAGTATTCTGCAACCAATCTTTGAGTAACCTTTCTCACAAAATCACTTTATATATGCTTTTTGTTTGACTCCTCTTTGATATTATTACCCCCTTTCATATCATCCATATGGTTTCATCCTTCAAAGTTTAACCTGCTTTTTTATAAGAAGAGAAAACTTCCTCTTAGCTTTCTAAACCACATGATTTTTTTCCTTTTTTGAGTTGGAGTCTCACTCTTGTCACCCAGGCTGGAGTGCAGTAGCATGCTCACAGCCACCGCAGCCTCGACCTGCTGTGCTTAGGCGATCCTTCTGCCTCAGCCTTCCAAGTAGCTGGAATTACAGACATACCACCACACCCAGCTATTTTTTGTGATTTATTGTGGAGATGAGGTCTCACCAAGTTGCCCAGTCTGGTCTTGAACCCCCGGGCTCAGGCAGTCCTCTCACCTCGGCCTCCCAAAGTGCTGGGATTACAGGCTGAGCCACCACACCCGGCCATTTTTTTCCATTTTTAGCATTTATTTCGCTTTTTATCTGTAGTCCATGGCATATTATTCAGTAATAGAATTTTTAGCACTTTCACTGTTTATTATTGAAACAGACTTATTTACTAATGTTAATTAACTTCTTTCCTTTTTATGTTTCGCTTGTTTATCTAGGCTAAGATTTTTCTATGATCAAAATGTATTATGGCTGGTAAAATATATTTGTTGATTGATTTTGGAATAGTGTAAATAATAAGACATTTTTCTGTGTCTGAATTTACTTGGATATGAACCCATGCTATGGCTCTTCCTTCTGGAATACTATATATACTTTGCTTTAGTTCCAGACTTCCTTGTTTCTTCTCAAGCGCCTGTCTCTCTCTCTCATTCTTCTTCTCTTCTGACTCACTCCCTGTGTTTTATTTTATACCCTCCTGTTTGCTGGTAACACCATATCTAGATCTCTGTCACAGATTTTAATGCTGACCTCTAGACACACCTAGCCAATTGCCTATTTACTGAACAGTTGTTGCAGGTAGCCCTTATTGCACACTCAACAGATCCACACCTACCACCAACCTTCCATCTTCCTGTGCTCCTTCTAGTGAGTAGCATTGCCATCGATTTATTTGTCCAAGACAACTAGGCTAGCATCCTTGATATTCTCTCTGCTCATTCCTCATATCCAAGTCCTGTTGAGTCTACATCGCAAATCCTCACTGCTGCCTCCACCTGAGTTCAGGTCAGCTGCCTCTTGCTGATGACCCACAGAAGTCGGCTTCCTGAGGAGTGTCCCAGTAATCCAGCCTTGTCCCCTTCCAGAGCTCTGTTCCTACTGAATCAGAGTGATCTTTCTGAAATACAAAGCTGATCATTACATTCCCCCACGTAATCTTATAAATGCTGTTTTCTTCTACCCTTCCTTCTACCCTCCCCTCTCTTCTGTCCTCCCCTCCATGGCTGATGTTTACTCATCATTCTGGTCTTTTCTTCAGCATCACTTCCTCAGGAAAGCCTCCCATGACCCTCCAAGACTGTTTTAGTTGCCCCTAGAGTATTATCTCAAAACACCCTGTACTTTATTGGGAATAGCACTTACAAGTTTATTTATCTGTATCCCCTTTACATTGCAATCCTCATGAAAACAGGGACCGTGTTTGTTTCCACAGCGTCTGTCACATAGTAAGTGTTCAGTGAACATTTGTTGAATGAATAAGTGAATATGTAGGAAAGACTTAACTTTTTTTTTTTGAGTTGCAGTCTCACTCTATCACCCAGGCTGGAGTGCAGTGGCACGCTCATGGCCACCGCAGCCTCTACCCACTGGACTCACATGGTCCTTACATCTCAGCCTTCCAAGTAGCTGGAACTACAGGCACGTGCCACCATGCCCGGCTAACTTTTCTTGATTTATTGTAGATATGAGGTCTCACCAAGGTGCCCAGGCTGGTCTTGAACCCGTGGGCTCAGGCAGTCCTCTCACCTTGGCCTCCCAAAGTGCTGGAATTACAGGCATGAGCCACTGTGCCCGGCCAGACTTTGCATTTTATTTTATTTTATTTTTTTTATTTTTTTGAGTTGGAGTCTCACTCTGTCACCCAGACTGGAGTGCAGTGGCCGCTCCTGGCCACCGCAGCCTCGACCTGCTGGGCTCCGGCGATCCTTCCACCTCAGCCTTCCAAGTAGCTGGAATTACAGGCACGCGCTACCATGCCCGG